GCCCGGCCTGCCCGCCCGCCCGCGCCCTCCCCGGCCCCTCTGCTCTGCCCCACGTCCTCCTCCCCAGGCCCGCTCTTGCGCACTCGCTCTTTCACTTGACCCTCGATGACCGTCTGCGGGGGATAAGTGCAGGTCTCCCATTATGATTTTTAAAACTCTTTTTTCTTTTTTTCTGCACAGCCATCTCGCAGTTAGCGCACCGACCTTGAACCTGGCTGTGAACCTTGTGGTTTTCCAACTTTCTTCTGTGAAGTTATGATCCTCCCTGTCTTTTTGTTTTGTTTTGTTTTGTTTTCCCCTCTCACAACCTTCTTCTTTCTCTTGGAATGGAACTCTTCAACTTTAGGAGACCTGGGCAGTCCTGTCAGGCAGCAGCGATCCCGACCCGCCTTGTCTTGGCCTCCCTATTAACCACATAGGATGTTGACTCTAGAACCTGCACCCACCCAGCGCGTCCTTTCTTATACCCGAGTGGATGGATGGATGGATGGATGGATGGATGGATGGTAGGGATGTTCATAATTTTAGTGGAACAAAGCCTGTGAAATGATTGTATATAGTGTTAATTTATTGTAATGAATGGCTAGTTTTTATTCTTATTGTCAAGGCACAAAACCAGTTCATGCTTAACTTTTTATTCCCCTCCTCCTTCCTTTTCTTTTTCTCCTTTCATTCCTTCTTTCTCTCCCCACCTCCTCTTCGTTTTCTTGTGAGAAATTAAAGATATTCTAAGGCTCTGGAAACATGAAACACTCCAGAATGATGGCGCTCTCACTTCTCAATTCATTGCATGATATATAACCACTCTGTGCCCCCAGTGCACACCAAATAGCTAAGGAGAATCCACCCGAACACCTGTAAAAGCTAGTTGTCCGTTCCTAGGCAAGTCGATTAAGTGGCATGATGCCTGCAAAGCAGAGTTAACTGGAGTTGTCTGTTTTCCCCCTTTCCTTCTGAATGGAATAGCTCCACATCAGCAATATTATTTTGCCTTATTTGTTTTTCCCCAAAGTGCCAAATCCATTACTGGTCTGTGCAGGTGCCAAATATGCTGACAAACTGTTTCTGAATATCTTTTCAGTCCCCACTCCACCTTTATATGCTGTAAATCTTTGTAATGAATAATCTAATGATATAGATGATGACTTGTTGGTAACTATAGTGTAGTCTAGTGAAGATGAATTGTGTGAGTTGTATATTTTACTGCATTTTAGTTTTGAAAACGATTTCCCCCACCACTTAGAGACAGCTGAAATTTGACTTTCTTGGGAAAACACTAGCATTATTGCAAGTAAGACTGATCCCCCCACCCCAGTCTTGTTATATTTGATAAGGAGCATTAATCCCCCTGGAAATAGATTAGTAGGATTTCTAATGTTGTGTAGCAAACTTATACTTTTTTGTACTTTAAAATCAATGTGAAATATGCATCATACACAATATTCAATCTAGATTCCAGTCCATGCGGGGATTTTTTTCCTAATAGGAATTCAGGGTCTAAACGTGTGTATACATTGGCTCTTCTGTAAATCAAATGTTGTGATTTTTATATTTGTTTTGTTTTGTCTGTGAACTGAATAATTTATACAAGTACACACTCCACTGAGACTCGTTTTGTTTTCTGCTCGTTTGTATCGTCTGTGTACAACAAGTAAAATAAACCTGGTAAAAACGCTAACTATGGTGTTTGAGAGCAGTTTACAGTTTGAAAATAATTATTATAGGTTATGGCTTTGAAGTTTTAAGCAAGACTGGCCCCTTCCCTCTGTTCTGGGAGTCTAATAGTAGACACCTCCTATATCCCCTGAATTTTGTCTTGTAACACTGCAAGGATTATTTTTTCTTCTTTACAATTATTTAATTCTCTATGGGTGTAGTTCTCTTTACTGCTGTATTTTTTCTAGGAAAATAGACGCACCTTCTGTCTCTTAACTCTGATTCTCTCCGGAAGTTGAAGTGACTGGAAAGGGAGGGTCTTTAGATGAGTTTAGAATCCCTTTAAATTTCACACAGCAATCTGTGAGGCCTTAGGTGAGAGCAGGGTGCAATTTAAAGCCAGTCAAGACAAACTGTTGACTGCAGGTGCTGAGAAATTTGGTTTTCCAAAGAGACCTTGGAGGTGATTGGCCAATCTTTATAAATGCAAATGCCCGAAGGGCCTACATCTCTAGTGAGGTCGGTTTTAGGTATTGTTCCGGGTGGGGTGGAGCACGACCCAAGGAAACTAGGTGTGGAAGAGTGGTTTTTAAGGACTGAGTTAAAAACTTGCTTTGGAGAGGGGCTGAGGAGTGAGGAGTGGTGCCTGGGGGCGTCTACACTGTCTCTTCTATAATGGAAACCTTGCTGTAGTTTTGCCCAGGCCAGGTCTCCACCTTTGTGAACAAATGGCAATGAGGAATTTCATGTGCAAGTTTGCAATTACGTTTTACCTCATACAGGCG